TCGACTTTTGGGGACTTCAGACATGGCAACGAGGGGTTATTTGGGATTGGTGACCAAGACTTGGTGTTAACGACACTCCCATCTCTCCCCCCTCCTTTCGTCTGGTCCTTACCTCTTCGTCTGTGTATGTCTGGACCTGGCGCTTTCTCCCTGTGTGCAGCGCCAGGCTCCTTCACACCTGGTGAGGGATACGATGCATGTTTAGTCTGAGTTCAAACATTGATTGGGCTCGTGATTGGTATTCTAGCATTCTGCTTCGCTACTTGTACTACGTGTGTGAGSTCAGTCCTTGTCAGGTCAGTCTTTGTATCTAAGTYTTCCCTGYGCTATYCRVCACTTTKGTATGTATGAGAATGCACATTGTCTGTCGAGATTCTACTCTCACCGCATTGTCCATTTCAGTCCTTTTTATCACACTGCAGTTCCTCGGTTATTACGAACATCACATATCTGCGCATGTAACAGTTTCTGTTTGTTGTTGTTTTTTCGCGAAGCAGTGGAAAGGGAAGAAGTCTCAGAGTTTCACCCGCTTCACTGTCCTTGATGATGATCTGTAGTGTCAACTAGTCGCCCCACCTCTCCTCCCGCACGTTTGCTCCCTCACTTCTCTTTTGCATCTGTGATTGTAGCATGGCAATGGACGACACGACTACGCCATCAATCTTTTGAAAAAACGTTTTTGGAAGATAATAAGAATGTGAACACCTGATCGCCGCAGCTCAAAGCTGCAGTCAAAGCCTTAAAGAAAAGGGGAAAAAGTCCCAAAAACATAGTAGTCTGGCAGTTCGTTTCTTGATTTGTGTCATTGTGTGGTGGGCCCACGCTCATCTTCGTATCGTTTATCATTCCGATTTTATCAGATTTCCCGAAGTACGCAGTAGTAGAGGCAGATGGGAGAAGCACGATGAGGTTTCTTGTGGCTAAGTGGTGCACACATGTAAAAAATGTTTTTTTTTTTTAACTCTTTTCTTCTTACTTTTTTCTTTGTATTCTTGTTCTTTCACAAAGCAGGTCATGCAATTGTTGGCAGAAAAGAGTATGAGTTCATAACTTCATAGTACAAATCTGCATGGCTACAAAAAAGAAATGGTGCATATTCATGGTAACCGCCCGGACGTCCGGACCGGGTTCCAGACAGTCCGGTGTCCGGTGTGGGGTGTCCATGTCCAGATGGAAGCCCCTGGGGCAAAAATCAAAAAAAAAAAAAGGGGCGACCCAGGACGTTTGTCGGGTCCTAGCCGCCCCTCGAAAAATAACGGGGTGATTTTTAAGTATCCTTGCACTCCACCGGACATGGCCTAGAGGTCCAGACACAAGACACTGCAGGTTCTTGAGGTGGCGGGTTTCGCACAGGCCCGAGCAATTTCAAAGCGGCCGTTTCGACGTGGCGCCCGCCGCTGCTGCCCGTT